TCCAATTAAGAAGCTTCAATGTTAATGACCGGCCCAACCATTTGTGGGCCTTATTAGGCGAAGGTCTTAAAAGTACAAAAGCACCCAAAACCCCGCTAAAGTAAAGCAAAATCCCCTATTTCGATTACGCAATTAGGGTTAGCTTCCCGATTGAGGGTTTCGAATGTAGCTTGAAAAATTTGTTCAATCAAAGAGCTATGAAGAAAGGCGGAGGCACCTCAGTTCGTGATGGAGATAAAGGGAAGAAAATGGGCGGCCAGGATTTCATCAAGAACAGGAAGAAGATGAAGAAGAATGTGCAGAGGTTGGGCGGCAAAGGCGGCCTGTCGCTCGAATCATTTGCGAATGCTAAGACCAGGAACGACCAATACAACCCTTCTTTGATCAGTATGTTTTCTTTTTGTCTTTTACAAGATTTTATTTGCCATTTTTGTCAATTTCATGTGGGGTTTTGTACAGTGAGTAGCTTGAGAGTTGTTTGTTAATGATGACTGGTGATTCATTGTGAGTGGGAGTTTCTTGTTGGTGTTCGGGTGATACTTCTTTTTTTTTTTTGTTATTGCGTTCAATATGTGCAGCGATGTGTAATTTCTTGGGTTGAAGACGAAATTTTTCGGTTTAGCTGTTGATTAAAGGGAGTACAAGTGGGTGGAGATGATAATCGTTCAATGTCTATACATATTTTTAGCATAGTTTGCGAAGATATCTTTTTTAGCTATTTCCCGACCAGGTTGAAAGTGACATTGGGCAACATTTTCCAACATAATGTGGTCGTCTCTGTTGTGAAAATGGCTAAAAATATGTTCTTTTAGAGAAAAAAAAAATGGTTATGGAAGATTTTGGCTTTACAAAAATGGCTAAAAATCTCGCTTACTGTTGAAATTATTAATCTGTAGAAGTATTTAAACTTTATCAATATGGATACAAAGAAAATGGCTGCTCTCTCGGAAGGCTCGGTGATATGTTATGTAACATTTATGTCAAATGTTTGTTTGTTTGTTTGTGTTGGTGCTAGTGACTTACAATTATTATGTTAATAATGGCCAGATGAAGATTGCTAATGAAGGTTAAGGGCTGTTTTACATGTGTTGTATAAGATATTGTATAATCTCTATTTACTGATCAAGATTCGTTTTTATCTTTCTTGTTATGTCTTTTCTTTCTTCCATTTTTTGGTGCATTTTTGTAGAGAAGCAAAGAGAGTTCTATAAAAATGCAAAGTATGTGAAGAAATATAAGAGATCATTGAAGCAACAAGAGCAACCGAATATTCCTTTTACATACGAAAGATCACCTGAGGTGCTAATTTTATTTCACAGAGCAATTTAATTTTATTTCATTATATGCTGCTCAATTTTTTGTTTTAATTTTACGAAAATGCAACTTTGTTGAGGAGATTAATTGTAAAACTGAACACAAAAAACTCCTTTATTTTCTTATAATATTAAATGATAGCAAATTTTCTTAATTTGAAAGAACTAAAGATAGAGACCTCATGAATCGGTATTGTAGCTATATTTCTTTTGTTTTTTATTAGCCATTTAAATTGTTTTTATTACAGAGTGAAAATGAGAAAAAGGAACATGGTCATGTTAACAACAAGGGCAAGAAGAATGCACGGAGTCTTGAAGACTTGTACAAGAAGAAGCGTGAGGAGGAAGAAAATACCAGGAAGGAGAGAGAAGCTTTGATTCAGGCAAAGAGGGAAGAGAGAGAAAGAGTCGAAGCTCAAAGGAAATCACTCAAGGAGAAAATGTACAAGAAAACGAGGTCTGGTCAACCTGTGATGAGATACAGAATCGAGCATCTTTTGGAAACAATTCAAGGTTCAACAAGTTAAATGATTGAACTGAGCTCTCTCGAGGCTTTCGTGATGTATCTTGTACGTAAGTTTTCATTCTGAAATGCAAAGTGCGGTTTTGCTACGAAATTGTTCCGAGTAATGGAAGTGTTAAATGCAAAAGGACCTCTGGGATTTTATCTAGTTACGAAAAAGACCTACTACAGTTTTTTTCGAAATTTAACTTTACCAATACATTGTTTATAGTAGTTACACTTCCAAAATCTACAGGCTCAATTTATATTCGTATTTTTGGGTAATTATAAAAGCCTCTCTGGATGTAGATTCAGACAAAGTGCAGTTTGTAAAGCTCCTCTAGAAGTCTAATAGCCACAAGAAATGGAAAAACAAAAGGCATAGATTACTATTAGGTTGGTTTTTTGCATTAGATTGGGTCAATCGGTTTGGAGCGGATTGATCCGGTTAAGTGATCTGTTCTTGGGTTCGATCCGGTTTTGAAAACCTGTTCGAGCCAAATCTAAAAGCTATGGTATTACGAGCTCAACATGTAAAGAGATATATAAATGTAGACAATTTTAACAAAAACTAAATCTGAAATTTCTTTAGTAGAGGAATTAATTTATACGACTTCAACAAAAATACATACTTTTAAAATAAAATATTTTGTAAAAAGCAATATAAAATTTCCAATCAATAAAACTAATGGAAAATGCTACGGTCCCGTTACTTAACCATTTTGTCAGAGTTTGTAACCGTTAGATTATCGTGTAACCGTTGAGAATAGTTGATCTAACAGTTACAAACTCCGACGGAATGGTTCCGTAACGGGGCTGTAGCATTTTCCAAAACTAATATATAGACTTAACTATTAGATTGTTATACTCTATCAATAAATATACTTACATTTCAAATTGAATATCATTTTTTTTTCTAACAAAACAACATGTACAACAAAAGGTAGCATTTTAATACTCATGTATTTCAGCTAGACATTTGATTTTTAATTCAACCTTAAAATATGCAATATGTAGCAATTATGAAGGTCTCAGTTTCTCGCACATCTTTAAGGCAGCATAAGTTGATAGCTTAGAGGATTTGAGTTTGTTATAACCTGCCATAAATTGTCTCTATTAATGTTTCATTTGATGCAGAATGAGTGGTGTAAGTAAAACCGTATATCATATGAGAAAGATTATGCCGCTATGGTCCCGTTACAGAATCATCTCGTCAGGTGTTTTACCGTTAGATCATCTATCTTATACTGACTATACGTGTTAGTCGTGATTTCTTTTGTAGCAACTTTTGTTAGTCGTGATTTATTTTTTTGGAACCCACAAAATTTTTTTTCGACCGTTGGTTTCCTTTTTATATATTAGGAGACGCTCCTCCATCCCATTTTTCCCAAATTTTGAATTAGAAAAATAAAAATATAATAATCATTTTTTTTTATTCAAATGTACTTAAAATGAAATCATCTCGAGGTGATATTACGAAATTGACCTCCAACTACAGCTTAGCCTCATTGGTTTGACCGCAAATATTAGGGGTACAATTGTCACTACGCAGATAATTTGAATTTCGCATGTGCCGTAGAAAATGCCAAATAAGGATTCCACATGGCGAGTTCTTATTGGACAACAAGACTGATTGAAGAAAAGTGAGACGGAACACACAAAGCTTCAGTCTTTTCGAGACGATATTAATTTGAATTTATAGCACAGTTTTTCTTCACTGTCTGCTTCAAAGAGCTGACTAATCACACTGAGAGTGTGATTGTGTGTGTCTGTGTGTGTATGTGAGAGAGATAGAGAGAGAGAGTCGAAGAGGCAGCCATACGGCGCCGTTTTGAAGGTAACTGACGAAGCTTCTTGATTATTATTATTTTTTTTAATCTACTGAAAATAACCCAATGCTATTTTTCTGCAGTGATTTTGCTAGATCTTTGGTTTCTTGAACTGGGATTTTTTTTTTTTTTTTGTG